CCTATAGCAAAAATCTCTCAAAAAACAAAAATAAAAACAAAAAAAACCCCCAAAAATGTTTTGGAATTAGTGGAGATGGTTGCACATTGTGAAAATATACTGAAAACCTCTGAATCATATACTTTGAGAAGGAACGAAAGATATAAAAAAGAAAACGAGTAATTCTTTTTTTTTTTTTTGAGAGATTTTCACTGTAGGGCGTGTGCACTCGCCAGACAGACAGAGAGAGACATAGAGACAGAAAGCGAGAAATCACCCCCCAGGGGGGATGGTCACGCCGCAATCCCTTCTCCTCCATTCTCCTCTTGGGATCTTGGGCACGCACGCACATGTGCCCGGCGTGAGTTCTAAGCCACCGGGTCCGGGACACGAACCGCGGTCGACTACGTGGGAGTCCAGCGACATAGCCATTACGCTAACTGCTGGTTCCCAAAACGAGTAATTCTTTAGAGAAGTCTTCTTTTATTTTTATTTTAACTTTTGCTATAGGACGTGTGCTTCCCAGATGACAGAGAGAGACAGAGAGAGGGAAGGTGAGAAATCACTGCTCCCAGGGGGATGGTTATGCTGTAATCCCTTCCCCTCCATTCTCCTCTCAGGATTTGGGGCACAAACTCACATGTACCCAGCATGATTTTCAAGCCAGCAGCTCTGGGACTTGAACCATCGACCATGTGGGAGACTAGCACCTTAACCACCATGCTACCTAGTGGCCCCAAGAAGTCGTATTTTAAAGAAAAGGCCAAACAGAGGATAGTGGCTGAAGGAGGATGTAGAGTCATGAGCATTTGGATGGCTTGTTCTTTTAAAAGATACTAGCAACCAGGAAAATGTCTACATTTTGTTGAGAAACATTTGGAAGAGAAACAGAGAGAGGACAGAGATAATCAATAGTGTTGAATGATATCAAGTTTAATTACTTGCTTCATGAGAGAGAGACACATACACTCCCTTGATAAGGTCTTCATGCTGAGATCCTCCCTTTAACCACAGCCAGCCAGGATCATGATACACCCGTGGGTGTACCGAGTGTGTTCAGGTAGCCCCAGGAACCCAGAGCCCAGTATGTAGGGATTTAAGGCTAATCAAGCCTGATGTTCCTGTCACCCTTGATAATTTCATATTATAATCTAGGTGAAAAAAAGCTCCTCACGAGGGATTGTCTAATTAAGTTTGAACACTGTGTAGGCAGATATTTTGTCTTCCAGGGTCAACTGTTTTATTTTGAGATGATTCTAACTCTATCAGTAGGTTGAGAAGGATCAGCAGGGAAAATTGACTCATAAAATGGGAGATAATATTTTTATGCAGTAAGAGCTCCTAGCTTTCCTTCATCCTCACTTCCAGAAGAACCCAGGGCTGCCAGTTCCTGAGACTTCTGATAATGATGTGGTATTCATTGTATTGCTTCTTTGATTTGTGCACTGTTAGCGTAGTATTCAGCTTTCTTGGTCTTCTGATTGATTTCACCCGTCTATCTGATTTTCAGCTTATAGACGTTACTGTTTTTGTCTCCTCTCTGACTTTCCTTGTCTTTGTTGTTTTTCCATTAAAAAAAAAAAATCTTTTTAGTGGGGTTTTGGCTAAAATATGGATTCAACTTTTCACCTTTACCTTTTTCTCTCTTTCCCCAGAGAGTATATAACATGTTTTTGTGTCCCTCCACGGTTGCAGTTACTGTCTGTGACTGTGTATGAGCCTGAGGCTACTAAGACATCCTTCCTCTCTTGCCCAGTCCAAGAGCTGGGTTTTGGGAACCTATTGGCTTCAGGTGACTGTCATGAGGATTCAGAGTGCTTATGTATCTGACTTACGCAGCACAGTAGGTGCTCAAACAGGTGTATCATCTCCCTTTCTCAGTCCAGAGGAGAGGACTTAATTTTATTGCATTCTGACTGTGCTTCAGTGTGTAAGCGTCTGCCTGCCTTCCCAGCCTGCTCTGACTCATGGGTATCCTCATTCTGTCAGATGTGCTTTAACGATCCCTCTCAGCTTCACAGGTCTGAAGATCTGACCACCAAGTCACCAGAGCTCTCTTCAGTCACTGGTAGCAATCATAGCTGTGATAAGACATGTCTTGACAGTCTCACCATACTTTGCAGACGTTCCTTGGAGCTTTCTCTGATAACTCGTATTTGTGAAAATGTTTAGCTGAGTCTAGGAACTGGAAGATATACTTCACTTCCTTTTCTTATTATTTTAAAATTCTTTTTAAATACAAAGAAGTTCCATCCTTCCCTCTTTTGAAGATTAAAACAGTAGTTTAAAATTTTTTTTAGAGAGAGATTTTTGCTATAGAGTGTGTGTGCTCACTAGAGAGACAGAGTCAGAGAGAAAGTGAGAAATCACCACACCACCCCCTCCAGAGGGTGATGGCCATGTCACAATCCCTTCTCCTCCATTTTCCTTTTGAGATTTTGGGCATGCACAAACACACATCTGGTGTGTTTTAAGCCACTGGGTCTAGGACTTGAGCCACAGTCGACTAGGTGAAAGTCTGGTGTGACATAGCCATTACACCATCTGCTGTTCCCAAAGCAGTAGTTTTTAACCTGGAATCTGTGGAGAGAATTAAGGGAGTCAGTGAATTTAGATGAGAAAAAAATTGTATCTTCCTCTCCACCAGCCTTATAATTCATAAGACTATATTCAATCATAACTGTTAGAAATAAACCATAGTAGTATTAGCTACGTAAGTGACTTTGTCAAATAGAAATCATGGGCATTTTTAAAAGAATTATTTTATTTAACTTCATTTATTTATTAATTTATTTCATTTTAATTTGACCAAAGAGGAAAAGAGCAAGCGAGAGAGAGAGACAGACAGAGAGAAAGAGAAAAAGTGAGAAAGCAAGCCGCCAGGTTCGAGACTCGAACCGCAGTTGGCCATGTGGGAGTCCAGTGCCCTTAACCACCACACCACCTGCTGGCCCCATTCACAGACATTTTTATATCACATTATAGTTGTTATATGTTAAAATATTTATCCCCATTTCTTCCTTAAAATTATAGTAGTTAACAGACCTGCTATAGATATTGTTATATATTAATTTAAAAAGTACATATTGTGGTCTTATCAATTTTTTTTTAATATTTTGGTAACTTTAAAAAATTTTAATTGAATTAAGTTTTTGTGGCTCCAAAGTAGTTTATTTTATGCATTTGAAAACATTGTTCTGAGAAAATGGGTCCATAGGCTTCATCAGATTGCCTACAGGATTCATGGCACAAAGATTCTGAAAGGACCCCAGAAGATCAGTGTGTGCAAAGGAATGTGTGGTTATTTACAGCAACGATCAAAAGTATTTGATCACAGATCTCAGCTACTTTTTTCCTTTACAGTTGCCTTCCTAATATATGGGTTACATCTTTACAAGATATTTGAAAAGTGGACTGCTTTGTTTCTCACTGATATGTGAGTTCAGACAGTATTTAAAAACAAAATCGAAAAGCTTCTTGAAATCTCACTTAAATATCTGGAATCACTTTGAAGTTTCAGAACTTAAGAAACATCCTCCTGCCATCCTACGCTGAGGTGGTTGAAGTGGCTGGATCTCACACGGCCGACGGTGTGGTTCAAGTGCCAGGACTGGGAAACACACCGGGGTGTGTGTGTGTGTGTGTACCCCAAATCCCAAAAGGCGGGGGAAGTAAGGGAGAAGGGATTGCGGTGTGACTGTCCCCCAAAGGGGACGCTTTCTCATTTTCTGTCTGTCTCTCTTCAGGGAGTGCACGTGCCTTCTGGCAAATCAGCAAAAAAAAGAAGAAACATTCCTATTAAGCAGCTTTACTAACTTACTATTTTTGTATCAGGTGATTAGGATGCTGAAACTCGATAGTGACAAAGTCACATTTTAGTTTATAACTGAGCATCCATAGGTTCAAATAACCTTGGGTGGTAAGTGACAAAATTTGGTTTTGTGTTAATGATCTGTTAAAACCCTTCGAGGTAGTCATCTCTCTGCAGCACACCTTCCGGCCCCCTCAGGGTGGGCGGACCGTGTGGTGCCCTGGACTCTGTCGCGGCAGGTGCCTGACAGCCTCTTCTTGGGTCAGCAGTGGGGGAGGGCAGAGACAGCCTCCAGGTCAAGTTTCTTGCCTTGGACACCTTGGGACGTTGCTAGTGTTAAAGCTCCGGTGCCAGTTCTTGCTTAACTGACCTGAACTTGATACTTTAGTTTTATGTTGCCTAAAGCAGATCTGCTAAATTGCTCTAAAAACTTAAATAAAGTATGAAGCACCCAATTTTCAGTACAGTATGTCCTGAGCCCTTTTGAGAGAGCACTTCATGGGTTAGAAGAAGCTCTCCTGGACCCCCGTGTCTCGGAAAGGAGATAGTTCGGAAGTGTGGCCTTTTCCTCAGGGGTTTTTCCTCTTCTTTCTGGTAGGGGAGGGATGACACTCAATCCATGAAAGCAATGGCTGGGTTCTGGGTACGCTGTCCTCCTTACCTTTGTACCTTATTCCTGACGTCGTTCTTCTGCCAGAATGCCTCTTATGCTGGTGAATGTTTTACTTCATGAAACAGTCCAAGTCACGTTAGTAATAAGAATAGTCGCAATATTTATTAAGCGCCTCCTATTTGTTAGGCGCTATATAAAGAACTTTACATATTTTAAAAATGTAATCTGACAAGGGTTCTGTGAGCCATAGCTTCTGTCCATTCACTTCATTTCAAGGAGGAAGAAAGGAAGACTCATCGAGGTTAAAGAACTCGCTCCATTTCCTAGCCAGTGCAGGACAGAATTGGAGTCTGAACCAAGGCAGTCTGACGGGAGCTCAGGCTGTTAGATCTGCTTTCTTATTAATTCTGTTTCCAGCAGTTTCAGAAGCACTTCAGTTAAGCTGCAGGAGTAGTTAAGTAGGTGGATTTGACGTGCGTATGTGTTCCGTGTTCACAGCTGTGAAGCCAAACAGGCATGTCTCCAACTGCCTTTAGTAGTCATTAACGGCATATTCTAAGTGCAAGTTTTTAACGCTGAGTTTGTTTGTGTTTATAGGGATGCTTCCTTTGGAAATTGCACTTACAACCTCACCATCCTCGACTGTTTGCAGGGAATCAGAAAGGTAATAACAGTTCTTGCTGTCGTTGACACAGTGGCTTAAACAATGTGAAAAAGGAATAATTTCAACGCCTTTGTTCGTTGTGGGAGAGAAGACGGGAAGCTTTTCACTTCTCGAATGATGATCGATTAGTAAAATACAGTCAATACGGCAAACTGAGGGGAGGGAGGAGCAGGGGCCCCCCTTTCCCACTTCATTGATTTGTGTAGGGCAGATTTCTCTCTTTATCTGCTGTGGGCCCGAGATATTGCTTTGTCATATTTAGCAACATTATCAAGCTTGATCTTGTTTTGAGAGAGACAGGAAGTTGTCTAAGCCAGTTTTCTCTGTGAGTTGGTCCCAACTCGAGACCCACCACAAGCTCGGAGGCTTTGGGATGGGGTTTTACATTCTGTGTTTGCATAATCTGCCCTGGTGATCTGCACTCTACAGTTGAGAACTAAGTCATAATTATTCAGTCACTTACCTACAATGGATTATGTAAAAGTTCATAGAACATGTATATTACGAGAAAAAAACACCCTATGCATGGATTTGTAAAAATTTCTTGAATCAAAATAAACTGGCATTAAACCTTTTTTTTGCTATAAGGGCTATGTGTTCACCAGAGACAGAAGAAAGAAAGAAAGAAAGAAAGAAAGAAAGAAAGAAAGAAAGAAAGAAAGAAAGAGAAGTAATCCGTTGAGGGGTTGACCACACAGCAATCCCTTTTCTCCCATTCTCCTCTCAGGATTTTGGGCACACACATACGCACCTGGTGTGTTTTTCAAGCTTCTGGATTCAGGACTTGAACCAGTTGGCCATGTGGGATCCAGCTGCATTAACCACTGTGACACTTGGTCCTCAACTGGTGCTTAAAATTCATTTTTCTACATCCTTCTCGAAATATCCTAGTATATATTCTATAACCCATCGGCAGGGTGACCATAGACTAGAAGTGTAGTATCAGTAGTAACTACAGCTTATTTCTTTTTCTCTGATGTAATATACAACTGATTTTGCTATATTTTGGTTGAGAAAGGCAGTACAATAAAAATGCTGGTTTATTTTTTTAAAATGATTTTATTATTATTTAAAATTTTATTATCATCATTATTATTTTAATTTGCTGTTATTGTTCTTTTCATGTGCTCACCAGAGAGACAGAGAGAGGAAGGAGAGGAGAAGAGAAAGTGAGAAAGCAAGCTGCCAAGTCTGGCCACATGGTTGGCGGGGGTGGTGGGGGAGTGAGAAAGCGAGAGAGCAAGCTATGAGGTCTGGGACTTGAACTGCGCTTGGCCACGTGGGAGTCCAGTGCCTAAACCGTCACATCACCTGCTGGTCCCTATATGCCATTTTATTTGCTTCTAACTTTGTTATTTCATTTAAAAATGAGTTTAAACCCTTTAAAACTTGAAGATAGTTTTCAACTGTTTTTATTTTTACTTAAAAGAATATGGAGATACCAAAATGTACTTCTAGTAATGACAGTTAAGAACTTTTATGGAGATATTACCTAACACATAACCCGTAATTATAGATTTAGAAAACTTGCCTTAGGAAAACAACGTAATTTATTGACTGTCACTGTTATTATTATTTTGCCTTTCCTATCGATTTTTTAAAAATAATATTTGTGGAATTCAGAACAACTCACGCTAGGTTATCACTACCTGTTATTATGGTAACTGGTCACTCAATACAGACATTTATGACATCCTTCATTTTGTAGAGGAAAGGCATGACTTTGTTTATGAATAAGGTCTTCTGTAAATTTATTGTGTCATGAGATTTGGGGTTCACACAACTATAGAGGAGATTTTAGAGGATCTGATAGATGGCCTGAGACACAGTGCCCTTGTGTATAACTCTCTTACCTTAGGTGCTATGATCTGGGATATTTTTGTGGTACTAAGTACCCTTCTAAGAACGAGTACAGACTCTGGCCATATTTTTTTTTTGCCTCTTTAAGGAAACTAATTTTCTGATTTTGATGTATTGATATGGTCATAAGTATAATTCATATGTAAACTACTATACATGGAGACATACACAAACACAAACTTCAAAGAGAAAAAAAGAAATGTGGATTTCTTAGAGAATATTTTTCTGATTTTTTTTTTCTGGAATGGTGGGTATGAATATACTCATTTGTGTTTTATTCAAAGGCGAGGTAATTTAAATCACTTGCTCTGCTTATGAGTGGTCTAAACCAGTTATTCCTGGAGAATCTGACTTAGTAATTCTGGGATGGGGCATAAATATATAGGTAAAACATATTTATGTGGCATAAATATATTTATATAAATATTTATTTATTTACATTATATAAAATATGTACATATAAAACAATAAATAAATATGTATCTATATACTTATATATAAATGTCTATATATAAATATAAGTTGCCTGTTTTTCTGATGCAGATGGTTTGTGTTCTACATTTTGAAAAAACAAACAAACAAACAAAAAAAACACTGGTTTCCAAAGCGTTTTTAAAGAGATATATAGAAGCTTGGCTTTCTTTTTTCTTTTTCTATTTTTAATGACTTGATCATGTAACTTTTAAATATATCTGTGGTTTTGTATTCTATTGTAATCTGGATATCTTCACAGATTATAAAATAAAAGACTTTTTGTCCTCGTAAAATAGCTCTGAGCAAGCTGGATAGTTTTTAAAAGTTCTCAGTCTTTAGTTTCAAAAAAAGAATATGAAATTTTTCTTTGTGTTCTTAAAAATATCAGTTCTTCCTTCTAAGTCATAAGAGTAGTAAGTAAGTACACTTTTATTCTGTTGGAAACTATCTTCATGAAACAAATTTTCCCAAGGTAGAGTTTTTGGAATAAATAGGGCCTAGTAAATTAAAAGAGCCACTTTTGGCCAAATATTTTATTATGATAGAAGTAATATAAAACCTCCTAAGAATAATTGATTTTTTTCCCTCCTGAGAAGTTAGTCCCTATGGTAGTCTGCCACAGATGTAGTTTCCAACAGGCTATAACTATTAATTTTCTGCATTCCATTATATATATAATTAATTTTACATGCAAAACTAATATAAATTAGAACTCGAGCTCTCTTTTTCTCTTTTGTGGGACATATTTTCATATTATTCAAGTATTTAGTTTCATTTCTAAGATAGGTTTTTTAGGTTTTTGCCATAGGGCGTGTGTGCTCACCAGAGAGAGAGAGAGAGAGAGAGAGAGAAAGAGAGAGAGAGAAGGAACATGAAAAATCACCCCCTGGGGTAATGGTCATGCTGCAATTCCTTCTCCTCCATTCTCTTCCTGGGATTTTGGGCATGCGTGCGCACACACACACACACACACACAC